TCCGATGTGTCAGCTTAATGCGACGTGTTTGTGAGTGTGAGAAAAAGACAAGCCTCGCGATCCAGTGAGCGACTGTGAGTTGAACAGTCAAGTATGTGGGTGACTGGGTCGCTACACTTTTGACTGGTAGCGAACACGAATGATGTCTTAGACACATCTGAGTACGAAGAACCATTTTCCCCCTCTCCCCAAGAAGTGGTTATAACTATAGTCATAGTTAATTCAGTTTAGTATACTAGAGTAAAGTAATTTAACTGAGGTCCCAAGAATGGTATTGAGTGGGTGCAATCAGAAAGTATCCAAAAAATAGCAGAAAAAGATTGAAGCCATCTGGCTTACTAAAAAAGATCATTCAAAAGTAGTGTGGAGTGTTCGGCCGATGGCCTGCTACTCGTCACCAACATACTTAACACTGAGCCAACTAAAGGAAGAGAAAAATCACCATGGCCATATATATTGATTTTTTCCCCATTAAAATGGCCACATGTTTTTTTTCGAACCACAAAAGTTGCAGTTCGATGTTCAATTCAAAAATCGTCCAAAATAATCAGCTGATTACCGAGCCGCATCACCCATAAGCAAAACAGCTGATTTCCCACTGGATTAAATAGGTCAGAGGTCTATTGACGGTCTTGCAAAGACATAAACAAAGAACTTGTCGCCGAACTTACCAAAACATTTTCGAAATTCAAAAATTCGATAGAGAGTATTCCATATGACTGAGTGAGAAGTTGATCATCTTCATGTTCATAGCTTTCTGGGCGAAAGCTGAAACAAAATAGGCACGTATTACAGGCACGTAGCTAGCAACCGAAAGCAGACGCATTGTTGTTGGAGACAGCAAACGCTGAATATGTTGTAGGCAAGACATATTCACCAAGCGACGAATAATGCGCTCTACCAGTCAATGGGCACGTTTCAGCTAACCAAATGAGTAATGAAACGCCTGAGACCAACTCGTTGAAAATAATTTTTCGGTAGCTTCATAATAACAATGACNTGTTCACTAGAGACTCCTTAGGGCCGTTAACCACTACAGTCTAAAGGAGGGCAACAAATAAACACTGAGGGAAGGGTGTGCTCCATGGCACATTCGAATATAAATTGCGATTAGGCCTCTTGTCTCGAAAGACGATCACTGAATAAAAAAGGCCGGTAAGGTTTGGTACCACAAACATGGGATGAGTTAACTTCACGGACATTCTAATTAAGTGTCCCGCCCAAGTGGGGCTTTTGTATGTCTGATTTCAATAGGGTCGGTGATCTATTTCGAGGTCAGCGACTTCTTTCTGAGCTGAAAATTTGAAAGTAGACCGTCATTTTATGGGCTCAGCAGATGAAGCATCATCAAGTTGATAACTTTGCCTTTATTGCATAGATTGTCATCAAACCATAGCTATTCAAAGAAAACGGGTAACCTCACTCAAGACTGGTGGATTTCACGAGCGTTGGAAATCTGAATTATGGTGAAACGGCTGCTTCACAGCATTGTACAATTCTATTCACATTTGCTCGAACATAAATCCAGAACATTCTAATGTGAATAGGCGGGGCTAAGGCGCTGGTGCCTTATTTCGAACCATGCAACCCAAAAGAAGCACGGGGGCTAAGATGCAGTCAGGTTGCCCAGGCCTGTATAGGGACAGTCAAGATGGCCAGGTTGGGTTTGAACGACGGGCGTTCCAGTCAGTAAGTTCGTGCCTCAATCACTGGGACATTTCGAACTCAACAGATGTTTTTAGTGGGTATTGGAGTTTCTGATAGCGAATCATGATTCAACTGGTTTACTTAGAACAGTCATTTGACATCCCTCAGAGGTTCCTCTATTACGGATATTTTGCCGAATTAGAGTATGTTTGAAACACGAGATAAGAAAAAAGAACTGTCCAGTTTGTCGAAAATATGAGAAGTATCGAAGGCTGTTTACCTAATGAGTTCATTCCCTGGTGCCACATGAGCAATTCGAAGCACACAGTGTTCCTGAATCGTGAATGGACACAAACTGCATGAAACACATACTGG